TGTAAAGTGTTTTATATAAAATAATTTTTAGAATCATAATTGGAGGAGATTCTGTAAACACGATTCTAAGGAGTATATGAACAATAAATAGAACTAAATAAATGGAACTAAAATTTGAAAGTTTAACTGCGAATATAAAAGCTTTTTTGAAATGTAATCCCTGTACCATAGAATTTACCCATATAAAGTATATATTTCATTATTTATTAACAAAATGACGCAACTATCATTGCTGTCTTAATTTTAGAGCATGATTATTATTGTTGTGTACCTTTGGAACCAACCTGTAACTGACGCTTCAGCAAGTTTTCAAAGGCATTTAATTGCACAGGAGATTGCCCATCTTTCTTCCACAGAGCAGCTGGTGGATTTGAACCATGTACTTTCGAGTTGCCAGCACAACTTCTTACCAGTAGGCAACCAGAGTTCCCTTTAGAACATGATTTTTTCATTGGTAGGTTCCGTTGAGTCAAATACGACTCCTAGCAACCCTATGAACAATAGATCTGAACCCTAGTCCATCCTGTGCGATCCTCACAATCACTGACACACTTGAGCCCATTGCTGTGGTCACTGTGCCAGTCCACCTGGTTGAGGATCTTATTCTCTTTGACCAGCCCTCCACCTTTACGTGCATGATGTCCCTCTCCAATGAATAGCCTCTGCTAGTAACATGCCCAAAGGATTCTAGAACACTACATAACCCAAAAAAAGAATCTCTTGGGTCTATGAGCAATCATTTCTTAATTTCCTCTTCCCACAGCCCTTGGTAATCATTTTATTTTGTCATATAAATAAACTGTGGCTGGCTCTGAAAAGAATGAGAATCACAGAAAGAATGTTTGATTGTGCTTATGTGAAACCTATGCCTGAACCAAGAGGCAGTTGTCAGAACAGAGGAAGGAGACACTGCATGGTTCAAAATTGGGAAGGGTGTCTGTCAGGGATGTATTCTGTCTCCATACCTTTTCAATCAGCGTACAGAACAGATCATCTGGGCTATATGAGAAGGAATGTGGCATCAGGATTGGTGAAAGATTGATCAACAAATTGCATTATGCAGATGATACAGCCCTGCTTGCTGAAACTGAAGAGGACCTGACGTGCTTGCTGCAGAAGGGCAAGGACTACAGCCTTCAATACTTTGATGGTGAAGCTCAACATCAAGAAAACAAAGATTCTCACCACTGGACCTATTGACAGCATCATTATGGATGATGAAAAGATTGAGATTGTAATAGTTTTCGTTTGCTTGGCTCAACAATCAACACTCTTGGTACCAACAGCCTGGAAGTCAAGAGACAAATTGTACTGAGAAAGTCAGCTGTCAGGGACTGCTCCAGAGTACTGGAGAGCAATGACATCAGGCTAGGGACTAAGGTGCGCCTGATCCAGGCCTTAGTCTTTGCAGTTGCGTTACTATGCATCAGAGAGCTGGACAGTGACTAGGAATGACAGAGAATTGATGCCTTTGATCCGTGGTGCTGGAGAAGAGTGTTGAATATACCATGGACTGCAAAGAGAACAGACAGGTTTATCCTGGAGAGAGTGGGACCGGACTGCTTCTTGGATGCAAGGATTCTAAAACTTCATCTAACATACTTTGGGCATGTTACAAGGAGGGACCAATCCTTGGAGAGGGACATCAGATTTGGGAGGGTGGAGGGACAGCGCAAGAGATGAAGACCTTTGATGAGATGGATAGATTGGGGTAATGGGAGGAGTTATTTCAGAGACAGTGAGGTTGACACAGGATAGAGCAGGGTTTAGGGCTCTTGTACTTGGGGTCACTATGAGTGGCACATAACAAATTATATAATATGTGGTATTTTTTATTGGATTCTTATTTTATGCATTCATCAGTTGATGGACGTTGAATTGTTTCCACTTTTTTACTATTACACATAAAATTATGAATAATCATGTTTTCCACACATATGCTTTCAGTTTTCTTGGGAATATATAACAGGGAATACAATTGTGAGGTCTCATTTTAAAGCATTGCCAAACTTTTTTCCAAAATGCCTATAATACCATTTGACAGTCTCATTAGGAATGTTAAACTTTTGGAAAAGATAATTTGTAGTTTACATAACTTGAAAAGGAGTAGACTCTAGCCTGTAGCTTCAGATGTCTAGGGATCCGAGTGTAAACACTTTTCAGGTCTCTGCATCTCTGGCTTCCTCTTTATTTGCTCGGTTTTTGGATAACGAGAGATGACTACCAACATGTCTAGATTTACATCTTTTTTGTTGTTGTTGTTATCTTTTTTAAAATTCATTTTAATGAAAACTTACAGAGACTTTGAATTTCCATTCATTCATTGTTGTACTTTTCTCCCTGCCCACCCCTCCCCCTCCACCAGTACACTCTTCTCTTTGAAAAGTGAAAGAAAAATGCTTTCATTGTTTTACAATCCCTCCCCCGAGGTCCACTCCACTATGCAGCCTTCGTTCTGGACTCCTGTCATGACAATAATACCTAATCACATATCCCTTTTAAACAGTTTTCTCCCTCATCTATTTCAATGCAGTATACATTATTTATTCCACCTTTTTCAGTCTTCCCCGCAACCCCGATGTCAGTCCCGTTTTACAACAGTTGCACTATGTAGTATTTGTCCCTTTGTGACTGAGATATTTCACTTAGCATAATGTCCTCCAGGGTCACCCATTTTGAATAATATTGCATGAGTTCCTTGTTTTTCAATGCGGTGTAGTATTCCATTGTGTGAATATACCACAGCTTCTCTATCCATTTGTTGATGGACACTTAGGTTGTTTCCAACTCCTTGCTATTTGAAAAAAGTCACGATAAACATGGGTGTGCATATATCTGCTTGGGTGACAGTTATGGTCTCTTTGGGGTATATTCCCAGTAGTGGAATTGCTGGGTCAAATGGTATTTCTATTTGCAACTTTCTGAGAAAGCGCCACACCACCTTCCACAGTGGTTGCACCATTTTACACTTTCACCAACACTGAATAAGGGTACCAGTATCTCCACAACCTCGCCAGCATTTGATGCTTGCTGTTCTGTTAAATTTTGCTGTTCTGACTTGGGTGAGATGATACCTCATAGTTGTTTTGATTTGCATCTTTCTTAGAGCTAGGGATTTCACATTTCTTCATATGTTTGTTTGCCATCTGAGTATCTTTGGTGAAGTGTCCATATCCTGTTCCCATTTTTCTATTGGGTTGTTTATCTTGTGGTTCTCGAGTATTTTATAAGTTCTAGATATAAGTCCCTTATCAGACATGTCATTACCAAATACTTTTTCCCTTCATACCCTGTTGGAGTTTTTGGATGTGCTAGGTATTTGATTCTTAGAAGGTCCCATTCATCTATTTTATCTTCTCCTGGTTGTAGATCCAGATTTACATCTTAATCATTCAGTAATGGTAGTAAAAAGTGTCTCCTTTAACAGTTCAAACAGAAGGCCTCTTACTGAGTCTGATTAGACCATTCCTTTACCACATTGCAGATGTTGTTGTTGTTATGTGCCATCCAGTTGCTTGCGACTCATAATGACCCTATGTACAACAGCCCTAAACTCTGCTCTGTCCTATGCCAATCTCACTGTCTCTCACACACCCATCCCGATTACCCCAATCACCAAATCAGTCCATCTCTTACAGGGCCTTCCCCTCCTGTGCTGTCTCTCCACCCTCCCAAGCATGATGTCCTTCTCCAAGGACCGGTCTCTCCTCACAACATGTCCAAAGTATGTTAGACGGAGCCTCAGAATCCTTGCCTCCAAGAAGCCACCTGGTTTAATTAACCCTTTCCAGGATGAATCTGTTTGTTTCCCTAGCAGTTCATGGTACTCTCAATACTCTCCTCCAGTACCACAGCTCAAAGGCATCAATTCTCCTTCTGTCTTCCTTGGTCATTGTCCAACTTTGATGTATAACAAGTGATTGCAAAGACCATGGCCTGTATCAGATGCACCTTAGTCTCCAGAGAGACACTATTGCTCTTCAGTACTTTTAGAGAGGTCCCTAACAGCAGACTTCCCCATCACAATATGCCTTTTATTAATTTCCTGTCTGCTGGTGCCAAGAGTGTTGATTGCGGAGCCAAGCTGACTAAAGCTGTCAACAATCTCAATCTCTTCACCATCCATCCTGATGCTGCCAGTTGGTCCAGTGGTGAGAATCTTTGTCTTCTGGACATCGAGTCTCAAGCCATATTGAAGGCTGTAGTCCTTGACCTTCTGCAGCAAACACTTCAGGTCCTCCTCAGTTTCAGCAAGCAGGGTTGTGTCATCTGCATAACGCATATTGTTGACAGATCTTCACTAGTCCTGATGCCACATTTCTCCTCATAGAGCCCAGCCTCCCGGATAATTTGTTCTGCACACAGGTTAAAAAGGTATGGAGATAGGACACATCCCTGGCTTACGCCCTTCACAATTTTTAACCATTCAGTGTTTCCTTCCTCTGTTCTGACGACTGCTTCTTGGTCCAAGTATAGGTTTCGCATTAGCATGATCAAGTGTTCTGAGATTCCCATTCTTCTCAGAGTCAGCCACAGTTTGTTATGATCCACACAAACACCTTTGCATAATCAATGAAGCACAGATAAACATTCCTCCGGTACTCCCTGCTTTCAGCCAAGATCCATCTAACGTTAGCTACAATATTCCTAGTATCACAACCCCTTCTAAACCCAGCCTGGACTTCTGGCAGTTTTCTGCCAATGTGCTGTTCCAATCGTTTTTGGATAATCTTCAGCAGAATCTTGCTTGCATGTGAAATCAATGAT